TGTTCAGAGGTGCAGAATGAAATTACATTGCAAAAACTGACAAATAGGATCAGAAGTTGGGGAAGGCCAGACATATTTCACTTTTGGGTAGAGCACTAGTTTTGAGAGTAGCAACTTTCGCTTTGCTAGGATATGTGGGGGGCATATTCCGAAGATTCCCAGCAGCACTGTTAAGTCTGTTAAGAGTGCAGCCTTCATATCCAAGGTAGCGTGGGAAGTAGTATGTAGAGCACGTGAAGGTGGACTTGGACTGACAGACCCAGAATCTGAGAAGTTATCTTCGCTACCTTGGTATATGGGTCGTCAGCAAGGTGGCGGAAAGTGGAAAGATCAAAGACAGGATTGGGATTGGCATGGCGGAGCTAATAATTGCAGAAGAATGGGAGCTGAGCAGATGTTTAGATGTATGGGTTAGCTACCTTCCATGAGAGCTTCAACAACAAACGAATTCAGTCTACCTTCTGGACGGACGCGTCATCTCCGCATGGAAGAGGGTTCAGCCTACTCTGGCGAATCCTTCGAAAACGAAGGAGGAAGTCGAGAAACAGCATCTGTTCGACAATCCCTTTATCAAAGACAGTGCTGGAATTCCATTCGCAGCAGATACCAGGCCTGGTCACTTTGGAATGAAACGGATGCAGCAGGGGGTGTGGGTGTCGACCATCACTGATTTGTGGGACGAGTTGAAACATGCCTGGAAAACGGCTGATAAACCCTAGGAAACAATCTGAAGGTGAAATTGGGTCAGTTACCTCATCAGGAAACAAGACTCCAACAACTGACTGATGGAATTCCCTAGGACTGGCAGATGATGATCGCCCCACAACATGTTAACCTGGTGCGATCGTGGTATGTCGACATCCAGGGAGGGAGGAGCCGGCTGCAGGAACGGTTTGAAGATGGCTAAGTTAGGGAAGTGCTGGCTGGAAACATGTGAGCCACTGCTGCCAAATCTTCCGGAGATAGCAATCTCTGGGATCACCTAGAAGTATGGACTTGATGGCCTGCAAGAGATCGGAGTTCGCCAGCTCCCTCCGAGATCTCCAGAAGAACCGGAGATACCGGTTGTGGTGGCAAATGCAGTTTCCTCTGCGGCTGATGAAGACCGATCCACAAGCATGGGGATGGCAGTGCGAAAATGAGTCAATTTGGCGTTTGAATAATCTTTCCTCTCAGCTGCTGCTCCGTCAACGGGCGAAGCAGCCCCACAGAAGTGAACTCATATCAGCAAGGTGGCAAAGGCAGTGCCCCAAAATTGAGCCACCTTCCAAGAAGGACCTGTCTTCACTCTGGGCAAAGCTGAGAGAAGTTCCATCTCAAAAGCTGGCCTCGCTGGCTTGGCTACAGTCTCACTTGATGGTTCGCACAGCCAAGTGGCTACATGACCGTCGAATGGATGTATATACTAAATGCGACAGAAGCCCAGAACCGGTGGAGTCCATGCAACATCTATGGTGGGACTGCCCGATCTCAAACAAATGGTGGAAGTGGTGGGAGCGGAGCGGCACTGGATAGCCTTCTCTGACAAAAGGAATCTGACAGTCTAGAGGTGGGTTCTTCAAGGCATCCTGCTACCGGATGTCTCAAGCAACAAAGGATGGGAATAAATAGCCCAGGTGGCCAGACTGGCAATGCTATGGATAATCTGTCTAGACAGGAATGCAGGCGATTTCAAGGCGAACCCATCCACAACGCTCAGACAGAAAGAAAAATTCAGGCGCCTCATTGGGACCCAGATCAGGGCAGACCAGACCCGGAAAGTTCTGGGCTGGCTTGAAGTGGTTCAGGGAAACATGGACACTGGGACGGCGTTTGGCCAGGATCGCTGCACACGGGCAGCTGGAGGTCACTAGCTGGCTGAGATGAGAACCTGGGGTACTAATAGACTACGAGCAAGAGGAGGTAGGGGTCCTAAAATCGTTTCGCCGAGGGGAGAGAGGTAGGATAGTACTCCTAGGATTGTGAGGTTTTTAAGTCGAACCAGGTGCACTCGGTTCCAGTGGACGATCACAGAAGATTGCGTCGGCAGGTAGGGAGGGAGGGAGAGTGCCAAGTCTGCCAAATGGAACAAGAGTTCCTCCCGGGCGAAATAGGCCAGGTCCGGGCCAGGAATATGTGTGTGGGGTAGGGTAGGTAGTGTACCTAGGTCATGGGTAGGTAGATATATGCGGTAGAATCTAGATTTGATGGATGAATTGAATTGAGATGATAGACGAATTGAATTGAGATGATAAGCGTCGTGCAAAGTGACTTCACGCTAAACCAGCTGATGCGGACGGGATAACCCTAGTGACTTCACGCTAAACCGGCTGATGCGGACGGGATAACCCTAGGTTGATACGCTAAACCGGCTGATGCAGCCGGCCAGGATAACCCCGGGCTGAATTGTGAGGAAACCCGGCCTCTTTCAATGAATGTTGGAAATAAAAGGAGATTGTTGTTAAAAATAAATAAATAAATAAATAAATAAATAAATAAATGTGTTTCAGTCACTGTTTTGCGAATTCTGCTCCAAAGCCAGGAAAGTGGTGAATGTATCAAATTCAGCTATAGGGTTGAGTGGGGATGTGTTGTATTTGAGGGATGCCTGGGGTCTGATCCCACCTACCGTTGTTGAGTTTAAAAAACTTAAAGGTGAGATGCCATTTCCACATTAATAAATTCCAAACAAGAAATAACAAAAAAATTGCACAAAAAACTAGAAACAGCTTTTCTCCTTATTTTTGAGAACGTAACTCGGAGAAATGAAACATGTCTGGCACAGTCGGAGTGAATGTCTCCGTGAAAAAGGGATGCTCCCCGTGGTGAGGGGACAGGAGGGGCCAAGTCCCACTAGAGGTGAGAAAAGTATAGGAATGAGGACCACTCTTCTGTGTGACACGCTTGCCAGCCACAGATAGAGAAGGGATCGTAAGGTCGTGCTTTGGTTAGTGTGCAAAGAGGAGGAGGAGGGTTCATGTTTCTCGTATTCTCATTGGCCACCAACTGTGGCAGGTTTACTTTTCAAAATTTGACGAGTTTTCATTTTCCTGGCATGTCTGTTCATGGGTGAGGAATGAAAACCGGTTCGAAACTGATTTGGAAAAAAAAAATTGGTAACGGGACTGTGTCAGTCTGAGGAACAGCCGCTGCACCGCTGCAGACTCTGTCAGTGGACAGGCACACACTGCCACTAGAAGCGTCAAGTTTCCTGAAACTCGAATCTGGACGTCTTTGTGGAGATGTGCAGAAATCCCGTTCTGTCGCTTCCTGAAACACACATTTCCACAACCAAATTGTCGCAAGGTCTCTCTCTCTCTCTCTCTCTCTCTCTCTCACACACACACACACACACACACACACACACACACACACACACACACGAGATGATTTGTGGAGGGAATAAGAGAGAGAATTTGGGTTTTTTAAAAACAAACACACACACACACGCACATACACACGCCTAGACGTGTAACCGAGGGCAATACGTCAATGGATGTACCGCAGGGCTCGCTGCTTAACTGTGGCCAAATGGCCGTGATCACACAGTCGGGGCTCGGCCGGGGGAGGATAAGCACATGAAAGACTAAGTAGGATCCGCGCAATGGCTACCGAACCTAACCGCAAACGAGCAAAAGGACAGTAAACAGCATATCCCCATGAACACTGAACATTATTCCATTGCAGGACATCAACTGCGGCTATGGAAACCCGCCATGGCATACGAGTACATGCACCTTCTATGACCACGCATCCCAACAAACTGTGAGGCCGTCCAGCTGGATGGACCTGGCTTTGCCACTCACCACATGCGCTGGTGAGGGGTTCAACTGCTGTGTATCTTCCCATATTTAGCAGGACTATTCATTCTCATTTTCCACTACCGCCGGAGTGAGAGACAGAGGGAGGCCCCACGATAGGCAGTCCCCACACATACCAGAATTCTCATCATTGCAGGGCCCTCGTCAGGTGTTTCAATTTTTTTTCAAAAAGCCTCGAATGCTGTCGCACTCCGCCCCACCCTGCCACACCGGTCCCGGAATGAAAAGCAAACCCGTGCTAGTGGGACTTGGCCCGAGGTCACCATTTGAAAAATGGACAGGGACAACGTGGATGGCCAAATGCATTCATTGCCCAAAGAAGGAAACGAGTTTGATGCCAGACAGCCAAACACAGCTGTCAGAGTTCCTCCGTTTGAGGATGTAATGATGTCTAAAGCAAAGGCAATGCAGTTGAGAAATGTACCCTACCCTCGGTAGGGTAGTTTTCTCAATGGAAAATGGTTTCCGGCCCAAACCAAAAGGGCCAAAAAAAAAAAAAAAAAACGGCCCCAGCATACTACAAAACGAATTGCACGTCAAAGAAAACTTCTAAAAAAATGCCAAAATCTAATAATAGGTTATTCTCCTGTATTTCGGTACCATTAGATCGCAATACATCAACCGCAGAGCTCCGTCCCATCAACCGCAGAGCTCCGTCCCACCATGCCACACGTGATAGAAAGCTCAGCGTTGACAAAACTCAACGCTATAGGTGGGACCAGACCCCTGAACTTCGGAATGCTAAAAGACAGCAAAAATAGCGGTCTTTCATTTCCCCTTTCGGGTAACTCAGGCCCTCCGCACGCCACAGCCCACCCCACAGCGCACCCCAACCCTGTAGTAGTTACAACATGATTCTGTTTTCCCCTTTCAGAACTCAGTCCCTCCGCACACCACCGCCCACCCCACAGCGCACCCCAACCCTGCAGTTAGAACATGATTTTGTTTTCCCCTTTCGAAACTCACGCCCTCCGCACACCACAGCCCATCCCACAGCCCACCCCACAGCCCACCCCACAGCGCACCCCTGTATAGTTACAACATGATGATGCTTATTACGAAGCGCGGGACCTCTTTTCTTGCCTTTTCCAAACGTAGCCCGTGACCGACCGACCTGCCGGTGGCTGTTTTTCTTGCCCATACTAAACTTTATCGTGACTGGAACGTACTTACCTCCGTTTTGGACCACTGTCGATTGTCTATTTGTTTTGTGTTTTGTTTTGATAGACTCCTTAGCACGAATTGCGACCAACGCCGCAACGCGATCAACAAAAATGGGAAAAAAAATAATTGGCAGTTGCAACGTGAAAGCATGCATTCTGGTTTCTGTCAGACCTGTCAGACCGGACCACCCTCAGGACGACACTTCATCTTGCGTGGCAGGGGAGAGAGAGGGAGAACCAGCACTACAACCAAAGGCAGGGAGAGAGAGGGAGAGAACTGCCCTCCAAAGCTGGGGGTCGGTGAGTCTATACTCCCTTAGGCACTTTCATAAGTACCCGGTCGTTCGCACGCCCCCGCCGATAGGCGCGTTCATCGTGCCCGGTTATTTGCACACCCGCCGGTAGGCGCGTTCATAGTGCCCGGTTATTCGCACACCCACCTAGGGCTGACGCATAGTACCTGTTTTACAGACACTGCCTGCTCAGCTCCACTTTGCGATCAAGGGTGACTCACTCCACTTTGCAGTCGAGGGCCAATCACGTCCTGCATGCACACCCACCCACCCGCTCACCAGCGCCAAATGCTTAACTAAGAGTCTTGGCACACCCGATCCGAGGGATATCAAACATGGAGAAGCCATAACAAAATCGCATTTCTTACGACTTCCGACACTGCAGCAGTCTCGCTTCGTCGACACCACAATTATAGAAACATTGGATCGGAAAGAAAAAGTGACTAATTCACAGATTCAATCGTTCCGCTAAAACGAGCCCAGACAAAACGTTCTGGAAAGATGAGATAAAAAATGGCCCTCTCCCTTACCCGTCCCGTCCCTCCTTGCGCCTCTCTCCTTTCCCTACCCTTGTCTATGTCCGTCCCAAGGATGTGTTCCCTTCCTTGCTTTCCTCTTGCGACCCGCGACCACCATTATCATCACCTCCACCTCCTAACCCTAGACAGCAACGAATCATTTCTCCCATGGGGTCATTCCCGAGGAAGAAAGCAAGGCAGAGGTTGGCAGTGGTGCTATTGACGATCACCGCTCTCTGCAGTCCATGTCTGCTTCCTTGCAAAGCATTTACAAACACTGCGTTCCGCTGGCCCGCGTACTTGTCCCCCAAACAGGTGGCATATCATCGAAAAATCCCGACACATGCTAAATCTCCCCAGCGTCCTCCTTCCTTGTACACGGTTTCCATTCGTGAGAATCACATCACAATGTGTCTCTTGCCCAGCTGTTCTCTCGTCCTCCTGGCCCCAATATACAGTAGAACTTCTCGCTCCCGTGTAGTCGTCCGAATGATGTACCACAACCACAAGCACATCTTCAACCTCTGGCCAATCAAACTCTTCCATCATGCTCTACTGTCCCTTGTTGCGCATAACCACAACCCGTTCTCTCTCTCTCTCTCTCTCTCTCTCTCTCTCTCTCTCTCTCTCTCTCTCTCTCTCGCTCGCTCGCTCGCTCGCTCGCTGCCCCCCCGCGAAGGCATCGATACCAGGGAGCAGTATATACGCTGAATAGTAAACAGTACACAGATCCACGGCCAAAAGTAGAAGCATTGAGGAGCCAGAGAGGGGAGAGAAGGCAAAAGCCGACAAGCTATCAGCGTCAGTCACCCGCCGTACGCGTTTACGTGAGTGGGATGTGTTTGCACAGAATCATGTCCGTCGTGTACATATGGATGATAGACATACGAGCGCGCGAATTTGCATGCGATGCGATGTGTGTCCGATTGTAGACACAGAGCACCGTCTAGCCCATCCTACGTAATAGATCCGGCAAACTCTCCCGGCAAGGCGGCAGGGTCAAGCTCGAGCATTCCCGCCGTTACTCCCGTCATCTCTCCCCCTTTGAATCTGTACACAGGAATCTGATGGGAAAACCTCTTCTCGTCCCATGCCATTATTCCGAAGCCGGTCTCTGTCCCCGCACTGCCTTGCTTTCCACCATCGTCTCCTACCCCCCCCCTCCTGAAAATGCACTTAAACCCGCTAACCTTCTCAAGCGCCTCTACCCTGATACCCTTCTCGTCGCTCCAGTCTCCTACAATCTCCACCACCTGATACGCCCCGACTCCCTTTCCTGATCCTGATCCTACAAAAGTGTCTCTCCCCGGCACGTGTAAAGCCCATACTTGCCCCACGTGCGGATAGATTGTTATACGATGTCCTGTCCTCTTCTTCCACTCTACTTTGTGAGAGAATGCCATGGTCGACTTCTGCGTCGATAGCTTTTGAACCCGGTAGAACCCGCACCCCGATGGCCCATACCGACCACCATACCAGGCTTTAGTCGTCCCTCCGCCTCTCTTCTGCAGCGTTTTCCCGTTTCTATCTGTCTCTTCCAGCCACGTCATTACGACCTCGAAGGGGTTCATGGAGATCGCTCTGATCTTCGCGTAGTAACGTGGCATGCCGTCTACATCGTCATACAGCGCCCAGATCTGACCGGACGCCACGTCCTTCTCTGTCCTCTCATGATCGAAATCGTAATAGTCCCCATCGGGCACGTCCATATACTGAACGTTTCCCTCAAGCTCTACAACCCCGTCGCCTCTGTCCATTGCTACATCTCCCTTCTGCTCTTCCTCCTCCTCCTCCTCCTCCTCCTCTTCCTCCTCCTGCAGCTCCTGTTTAACGTTCACAGGATGCGGTGCTTTGTTAGCAACCGCAGCACCCACCACCTTCGCCGCTCCTCGCCCTCCCCCGTCACCTACCTCTCCGCTCGGGGTTGCTGCTGCTGAACGCTGCTCGTTTCTTTGGCCCGACAGGCCACCCCCCCTCTTGCTCCTTCCTTCTCCTTCTGCTCCTGCTGCTGCTGGAAGATGTTCTCTTCCAATCCTGCTATCGTCCACCACTCTCACGTCAACAATGTCGTCGCCGTGGTCTCCTCCTCTGGATGCAACAAAGCTGTCCGTGCGGTCCTTATTACTATTACTCGAAGTACTGCTTACAAGGCGCGAATTATCAGCCTGCTCAAACAACCTGTTCTTCGAGGAAGGCCCGCAGGACGGGGTAGATGCCAGCGTTTCGGCATCGGGGATCAAAATTTCACTGACTCTGGCTCCTTAGCCAATCGGCAGGCAGCAGCGGAACGGAGACCTGAATCTGGACAGCGAGGCTGTCTGGGACCATCGACAAACTGAAGGTTGCAACCTTGAATATTCTCGAACAACTTATTTGCAGCAGGAAGGCTGGGAAATGTCCGAGCCGTCTCCCTGCCCGACTTGCTGGGTGGACCCCGTAGGCAGCGGCGGTACCCCGTATTGGGCTATTTCGGCTGTGACCATTTGGGGTGGGCTAATTATATCCAGGCTACTTCTGCCTTTTCCCCAGCTTCCGGGAGGTCGGCAGCACCGGACTATTTCTTGCCTCGGCCTTACTGAATAGAGACTTTTATCTCTTGGCAGATTTTCAGGTGTGCTTTCGGCGGCGCTCCGTTCCTGGTACCTGCAACGCAAGACGAACGGCTGTGTCGGTCAGATTTTACCTCCTCCACGCTTGGTAATCTCCCCACCAACCAGTTTACAAGAGAGGGTAAGTTCAGAATCATGTGTGCGACTCACCATAACTTTTATCTATTTCAGGTAATTCCAGTTTTCCCGTTCATCCTCTTCTTTAGTCGTTCCTTCGAAAAGGGCAATTTCCTTGCTCGGTTCTTTTCCTCTTTCTCTCAACTTGCGGGCCTCTTTAAGTCTTTCTTCAACCTTTCTATAATCATTATATCTTTATCGGCAGCTCCTTGATGTTCGTAGATTCTCTAGGCACCTCGCATACCCTAGGGCATGCTCGGCAACTCAGTTCCACCAGCACCCAGACTTTACTCCTCCAACTTCTCGGCCACTCACTCCCACCGGCACCCAGACTTTACTTTGAGAAGAATATCCATTGTTCGGTAAGTCAGACTTTTTCAGACCAAGTGTTATTCCGCTCCCTCTTCCGCGGAACTTTATAACGTGACTCACCATGCGATTCACTATTCTATTTCATAAGATCTGAGCCTTCGACCCTAGAATGCAAACAGTCGATAACTCTGTTTGAACCGTCAATTCACGCTAATTTAACTAAGGTACTGTCGTAGCCATGGTTGTCAGGCCGAACGTTCGGGGGCCCCCGGGCTGACCCCTGAACGTTCGGACGTTCGAGGTCATGTTCGAGGTCCGGACCTGAAGGGGTTCGGACCCCGCCAAATTTTATTTCATGGCCTAAATTTTATTACTTTTTTTTTTTTTTTTTTTTGGTATGACATGCGTTACATGTATATAAATTTTCAATGCATTTTGCCAAGCCAAGAAAGAATGAAAAATCGCCAAAGATGGTGGTGTCAAAACGTGCCCGGTCACTCAGGGTTTTTTTTTTCACTTTTCACTTTTTGTTTTGATTTTATTTTGGTGCCTCAAATATTTTATTATTTTTTGAAACTTTTTTTATGAGCTTTATATTATATGAAATACACATCTGTGAATTTCCAGTGCAGTTGGTTATCCGCCAAAAAAATAAAAAATCACCAAAGATGGCAATGTCAAAAACGTGCTTGCCCACTCACTAATTTTCAATTTTTTTTTATTTTTTTTTTACTTTTCTTCTTCTTATTATTTTTCGTATTTCATTTTTATTTTAAATTTGGTAAGGAATTCGGATGTAACGTTGAGATAAATTTTGTTCGTTTTGTGTTCTTGCATGATATATATTTTTTCAGAATTTTTTTAATTTTTTAGGCTACCAGCCGGGCCGCCCGGGTCACCCTATGTTTCCGGGCGGCCTGGCCGTGCAAGGACTGGGGAAGGTCCCGGCCAAAAAAAAAAAATCCAAAAAATCCAAAAAATTCGAAACAAAACTATGTTATGCAGAAAAATAAATTGAACAACTTTTGCCCCAGGGTCACATTGAAATTATGTACGAAATTTAAAACTTAATTTTTATTTTTCTATTTTTTTATTTCTTTTTTGCTCGGGCAGGCAAGTGGACCCGGGCCACTCTGGTAGCCTAGGAATTTTTTTTTTTTTTTTTTTTTTTTYTTTDGGTCCGCGTTCGGCCAGAATGACCGAACGCATTCCCAAGGGGGGCCGAACGTTCGACAGGTTCGGGTTCGGGAGTTTGGCCGAACTCGAATGTTGGCAACCCTAGTCATAGCAATAATAAGCATCGGGAATTTTTTTTTTCTTCCTCACTACACTCACACCATACTTTTAACTTTATTCTGCATTTTTCATCAGACATCTACCCCCCCCTTAAACTTTCTCAGAGTGCTCAGCTGTTGTCCAAACTCCTTAGTTCTTCGCAACACTGCAAATCACATTTTTGTTTTCCCTTTACTGCAAACTTAAAAAGCATCTGTAACCACAGTCAACTATGACTTATTGAGGTTCATGGTTTGATTTTCCTGAACTCATGCAAAGTCATTGTACCAATAATTGTTTTTCCATCTTTAGTGAAGAACCCAACCATGCCCTCTGCATTCTTCTTGGAAATGCAAACAGATAGAAGGCACTATTCCCTGTGATTGTCAGAGAGAGGTTTGAAAACGATATCAAAATATGATAATCATTACGGTCGAGCAAGTAACTTTCTTCATTATTCACTCCGTAACTACTACGTTGATCCATACTACCCCTTACTCCTCACGTTCCATACTAAATCTACTAGCCCCTACTTTGTAAACCTATAATACCTACCTTATTGTATATTACCTATCGTCATCTACCTTCTCTGCCTCGTGTACTCTGTGCTCGTTAAGCTTTCAAATAATTTTCTTCATTCAATAGGTAGCTACTACTACCACGTTTTAAAACTCAAGAGAAGCAACACTTTATTCTTACTGAAACTTAGCCCCTGCAGTTAAATGACCATCCGATATATTACTACCCCGCCACTCAAATTTTTCGTGACCTCTCTTACACCTTATGTTGAGTTATATTTCAATTTTTTTTAACCACATCGTTTATAACCTATTACTCAAAACCCTTATCTTTCTACTAACGAACAACTTAGTCGTTCTGGTTATCTATGATCGACGTAACCACGAAAGTTATACACTATCTTACTCAGAGTATACGAGTACCCTACCTCTCAACTTCTTTAAAATCTCGGTTCAGCTATTCCCCAATACCTCGATTCCATAATAGCAAATACTAAACTGCAAACCTCAAACTTCCTCCCTTCGTAATTTTTTCTCCTTTTCTGTTTTTATTTACATCGTAATCACCCCCCCCTTCGTGTGCAACCTATTACCTCAAAGTTTCTTATATTATATTTATGAAGAATTTTAACTCATAAGAGAACTCGTTCACCTACCCTGTTAAAAAAAAAAAAAAAAGGTAGGAAAGGGAAAGGGTAATAAGGAGAACAACATAGATAGGGCGATTTGAGTTTGTCATCTACTTGTTTTTTTGCGTCATTTCTTCGCAAGACCGATCACCTTAGGAACTTACTACCTGATCAAGATATTTTTTCGAGCAATATTCTGCGAAGGGACGAAGCTTGCAAGAACAACTTGAACAAAATTAAGCATTGAGTGTTGACCTAAGCAGCGAAAGCAGTTATAAACTGCGTTGTCACTTGTACGTACCCTCGTACAAGTACGGATTCGTACTCTTGTACTCGTACGGTTTTTTTTTTTCTTTTTTTTTTAAATCAGGTATAGTTTTTATTTTTTTCCTCAAATTCTAATAAGAATCTGAAGATGATGCTCGGCCAAATGTTGCTTGTTTTGTGCTGTTGCATCACATAGTTTGGTTTCAGATTTTTTCAATGACTTTTTTTTTTTTTTTAATTATTGTTTGCTTTTTCGTACGGGGGCGTACAAAACGTACAGGCTCCCGTACAGATATAACCTGTACGTTTCGTACAAAAAGGCCCCGTATGTAGACGTTATGCAACGTAGGTTATAAAACTTTGTAACCTCATTACTTAAAAACTCAAGCTCATCACTGCCACTTTGTTTTTTCCACATCCAATCACTTATAACAATATATCACATCACCTTCTTCCTAAACCACCAGTACCTCCGAGCCTGCTTTTGCCGACCCTGAATTTCACTGCGCTTCGAGTTTTGTCGAGTCTAGGTACCACTTCATTTTCTTTCTGGTACTCTCACGGAAAGAATAAAAAAAACAAAAAAGAAGAAGAAAAGTTGCGTTCGTAAACCTCATAAAATAATATATAAAAAAAAAAAACAAAGCCTTGGTCGTGATTGCAGTTGTATACATTATTGGAAGTGGTAGTGTGAGTGTGCCCTTAATGAGGGCATCTCAGGCCTGTGGCCAGGTTGTCAGATTCTAAAACGAGAATAAAAGAGAAACAAAACGGGCACATGGATCCGGCCGTGAAAATGGCTGGATACATTCCCCTAAGTGTCAGTGTGATGAGCCTTACAATCCTCTGACGAAATACAGATTGAGCAGATTACGAACAGATTGAGCAATTCATGGACAGGGGACTCATAAGAAGCACACGACCAACAAAAAAAAGAAAACAGTAATATTCAGAATGTGACCACCTTACCTATAAGGTGTATTCTGTGGAGGAAGATTGTGAGCACGAACTCCTGGACTACCCAGCCCGACATCATTGCACTAGAGAAATCATTCCACCCCCCCCGTTTTTCCGTCAGTATAAAATTCAGATTTATGAGACATTGCCGACCTTGTGTCCCACCTTGAAAAGTTCGGGTGCTGGCCAAGACATCGTAATTTCTTAACATTGGCGGAGGTACTGGTGGTTTAAAGTAAATATGTACCTTAGAGGTCTGTTAAAAAAAAAAAAAAAAAAAAAAAAAAAAAAAAAAAAAAAAAAAAACCTCAACTTACCATTATATCCTTCATGATAAAATATTATAAAACTGTAAGAAAAATAAAATTAATGATCAAATGTACGTACTATAGCCGAACGAAATTATTTTTTCAAGGTTCCTAACTGCTGCATGCCTATTGAAAGTACGTTGTTGATCCTAAAAAGATTCATTCAACAGATAACCATCGCTTTTACAACTAAACCACAATCACTTCAAGGTTTAGTTGGCAGTACACGAGTTGTTATGAGCCTAGAGAATCCGACTCAAGGTTGGTTATGAGTAAATCCATCTTTTCAATCTAGCTTCAACTAGTATCCCCGACTATGTCCAGGTTCGTAAGAAGAAGCATCTTAAGAAACTCTTTGTTGTAATATACTCTCCAACCTCAAGATTAACCATTAAAAAAAAAAAAAAAAAAGGAATTTATACATCTCTCCAGAAGTATTCTCATGCCTCAGGGTTGGTCCTGACCAGCTTTGCTGCCGAGACCCAATCTGAAGTACTCAACCATCAAACCACTGCACATTGCATAAGTCTTGTCTTGCCTTAGGGTTGGTCCTGACTAGTTTTGTTATTGTGACTGAATCTGAAATACTAGCATTCAATGTGCTATCGAGTATCAATTTGAAGACTCTACTTTGCATAGATTTCTACATAAAGTCTTGTCATGCCCTGAGTTGGTCCAGACGAGCCTTGTTGCTGACCCAATCTATAACTCTATCCACCTGAAGGTTAATCTATGAAGAATCTACCTCGTTCTTATAAGTGACTGTCTTTGCTTATCCCAGGGTTGGTCCTGACTTATGATCTTCAACTTTCCCTTCTGCTAGGATTGGGTACAAGTATGGACTATGCAAGATTGATCATCAATAGCTTTGCTCTTCAACTTAGTTTGAATTCCAGTTATGGGTATCCAAAGGTTGGTCCTGGCTGATGATCTTTAGCTTTACTTTACCATTATGATTGTTTTGG